TGATCCAGCTGCTGCTGAAACTGCCCACCAGCCGCTGAAGCAGGGATGCCTGGGGCAAAGCCGGACTATTGTAAGGGGGGGTTATGAGGGGTCTGGGGTGGCATCCCCTCCCACCCCACTCCAGGTCATAGCCCCTCCCCCCCGATAGTCCAGCATATCTGATAATCCGGCACCCCCTGGGTCCTAAAGGTGCCGGATTGTCGGAAGTTTACTGTACTCCACTTAGGAAGGAACAATCCATTTCACACATACAGAATGGGAAGCGATTGGCTAGGAAGGCCTACTGCAGAAAGGGATGTAGGGGTTATAGTGGACCACAAGCTAAATATGAGTCAAAAGTGTGACACTGTTGCAAAAAAAAGCAAACATGATTTTGGGATGCATTAACAGGAGTGTTGTGAGCAAGACACAAGAAGTCATTCTTCCACTCTACTCTGCACTGATTAGGCCTCAGTTGGAGTATTGTGTCCCATTGGGGGCACCACATTTCAAGAAAGATGTGGAGAAATTGGAGAAGGTCCAGAGAAGAGCAACAAAAATGATTCAAGGCCTAGAAAACATGATCTATGAAGGAATAGTGAAAGAATTGGGCTTGTTTAATTTAGAAAAGAGAAGAATGAGAGGGGACATGATAGTGGTTTTCAGGTATCTAAAAGGGTGTCACAGGACAGGGGCGGGGACGAATTGTTTTCCTGGGCCTCTGATGATGAGACAAGAAGCAATCATCTTAAATTGCAGCAAGGGAGGCTTAGGTTGGACATTAGGAAAAGACTTCCTAACTGTCTGGGTGGTTACACAGTGGAATAAATTGCCTCAATAGGTTGTGGACTCTCCATCTCTGGAGATATTTCAGAGCAGGTTTCATAGACATCTATCAGGGATGCTCTAGACGGTGCTTGGTCTACACTAGGAAATTATTTCAAAATAGCTCCCAAAATAACTATTTTGAAATAGCGTGTCCCCAGTACAGGGAAGCCTCTAAATTAGTCCAAAACAGACTCCCTTAATGTGTACGCACTACCTTGATTTAAAGCCTCAGGAAGCACTGGGGAGTAATTACTTTGAATAACTCTGAGGAGTACAGGCAGTCCCCCGCAGCTTTGCTCCCCGTCTCCCTGGTCTGCTGGCTCCCGCAGCAGACGAGGGAGACGGGGAGCAGCTTTTCTCGCCCCGGAGGAGGCGGGCGGCGGGACCAGGCGTCCCGCCGCTCGAGTCCTCCGGGGCGAGAAAATCCCCGTTCGTAACTGCGGATCCGACATAAGTCGGATCCGCGTAACTCGGGGACTACCTGTAGTTATTTTGAAATAGCAGCAGTGGAGCATCAACGCTACCACTATTTCGAAATAACTATTTCAAAGTAAGCATTATTCCTCATGGAAAGCAGGAGTTATTTTGAAATAACCAGCTCCTTATTTTGAAATAACGGGGTTGGCAGCATGGACACTCCACTTGTTATTTCGAAATAACTCGCTAGTATAGACCAGGGCTTTGTCTTTGAAGCGCCACAGCCTCCTCATTTTTGTAGATACAGACTAACACAGCTACCCCTCTGAACAGTATAATGTGTATACCAGTTCACAAGACCATTAGACATATTGTGTAAACTGATTAGGCATGAATTTCATGACATGATACAGTGGTGAGACTGATGCTAACTGATATTTACTGGAGATATGAGGGCAGTTATGAGTTGATCAGCTAGTGTTCTGTTAGCCCAAAGTGTTTTTATACTTTTTCAAGTCAGTTAAAATAATATTATTGGTTAAATGCCCCTTCCCAAAAACCTTTAAACTTCAACTTCTGAGGAGTGAGACTACTGGAGTGGCCAGTTTCTTCAAAAAGCTGATAAATGTATTTGCTATTTTTTATTGGTGAAGTATTAAATGATAGCTCAGAGCTTCGGTATAAAAATCCTACATTTGGAATTTTACTCCTGGACTCATGTTGGAGTCAGGAGTAAAATGTACCATGATAACAAAAGATTATTAACTCTACAAAAACCCTCAACATTTTGTACACAATGGTAGCAGGCTTCACTGTGGTGTTTGAGGTGTTTCCTGTCTCCCTGGTAAAGTCAGTTTATCTAATATATATAATGCTGTACTAGGAAAAAGCACAGTGAGGGTGATATGAATTACCTTGTGGTTACTAATATCTGACTAATATTTTGTGTAACTTTCCATGTGACAGTGACCTCTCCAGAGTGAGATGCAGCAAGGCCTGGGTTGGGCAAGATACGGCCCATGTGAAGTATCCGGCCTGCCAAGCTGTTTGATCCAGACCACTCCGCCACTCCCCTGCTCCCAGGCCAATTGAAACCTGGGAGTGGGGGGGGAGGGGTGCACAAAGTCATTCACTGTTGAAAGCAGCTATGGGAGCTCATGAAGTCTCTTGCTCCCTGCCCCTGGCCTGTCAGAGGTGTGCAGTGCCTAGAGGGAGCCACCAGCCATTTTGAACAGTGAATGACTTTGTGCACTCTTCTGCCCCCAGGCACCAATTGGTCTGAGGGTGGGGGAGTGCGCAAAGTCTCCTCCCCGCCACCAGGGGCGTGGCACCTAGACAGAACCGCCCGCTGTTCAAAATGGCTAGTGGTTGCCTCTAGTGTTTCATGCCCCTAGCAGGGCGGGGCAGGGGAGTGAGAGACTTTGTGTGTTTCCCCACCCATAGGCCCCAATTGGCCAATGTGTGGGGTGTGCTGAGGCACCTGGTTATCAATCTTGCCTCGCCAATGGCTCTCTATGGAAATTAGGGAGAAAAATGGGTTTTTCTGTAAAACCAGAGACACCAGGACAAGAATGGTAACCAGTCATTTAGGGACATGAGTGGCTGGAGTTTGATAGTTTCACATTGATACAATAGCACCTTACTTCATATTTTGGCTTTGGTGGACTTATAGAGTAACATACCACTTAATAGTGGGACAGGTGGTGCTAGAGTAGCAGATACTCCAGCCACACTTCTCTAGCTTTGTGTGTAAACTAGGTTTTGGTTTTTTCACCCAAACTGGTCTGTCACTCAATAGTGTGTGTTCTTGCTTCAGCCCACCAATTTGCCTAATCACTGTTGTGTGAAGTCGATGTACTTCAAAGAAGCAGCTCTGAAGGGGGTAATAGTAGACCCCAGGGGAGTCAGCAGCCTTGCCAGGCCCCTGGGCAAGGTGTTGGTGGAGGGGCAGCTCCGCATTCCTGGAAGGGGTTGGGTCAGGGGCAGCTGGCCCTCAGCACCACTGGGATCACATGTCCCCTTCCCCCCTCCTCTGCCAGTGCTGCCTGAAGTGCTCCCAGCCCCACCCCCCACTTCTCCCAGGGGCCGTAAGAAGTGCCTGGAGTGCATGGTGGTGATTTTAAATGACCTGGGGGTCTAGTAGTGGCCAAGAGCCCCTGGCCCTTTTAGAACATTAGTCCCTGGGGCAACTGCCCCTTTTGTCCCCCTCTCCCCCCATTGGTGGGCCTGGTAGACCCCCTTTTTGGATTAGTATTTCAGCTGTGGGATGAGTGGATTGATCTGACTCTGGAGATTGGGATGTTGAACTTTAATTAATGGATTGTGTGGCATAAGCAAGAGATGTTCTCCTGGTGATAATGTACATGTTTGCACAGTGGGATGTCAGATAAATCCTCAGAATGTTTTGTTAGATTTATTTAGGCTTTTTCCTGCAGCTCTTAAAAAATACTGTGTAGCAATTCCCTTTCCCCAGCTTCCTGCTTGTTTTTCGTATAGATCCAGGAATGGCAGAGCTACTCCCAACTTTCATTTCTTGGTTGGTCTAAAAAAAGTCATGTATTTCTTCATAAAAATGGTAAATCAGAGTGAGTTTCAAAGCTCTACTTCAGCTGCTTCTGCTAAAATATAAAATCTAATGGCTACTTATTTAAAAACCAGAACAGTGGTTGTAACTTTAAAATGTGCCTAAACTGTAAAAGAGCTTGCAGGATACCTGATATAAAATCTAAACTCTAACATTTTATGCAGGGTTTTAGAGATGAAACACTCTTTTAAGAAGAAGTTGTTGATGAACCACTT